GGCCGCGCTCGCGGCCGCGCTGCGCGACGGCCGCGTCGGCGCCGCGGCCCTCGACGTCCACGCGGCGGAGCCCTACCGCGCGGCGGCGTCCCCGCTCGGCGCCGCGCCGAACTGCTTCCACGCGCCGCACTCGGCCTGGTACTCGCCGGAGTCGCGGCGCGAGATGCGCGAGAAGGGCGCGGCGGCCGCGCTCCGCGAAATCGCGCGCGCCGGCCCGCCGCGGAACGTCGTCAACTCGCGGTGGCTCGCGCGCGGGGCGCCCGTCGCTTAGCGCGGCCCCATTTTGGCAATCTAATAAGCCTCCACGTCAGGATGGAGTGCTCGTGCCGCGGCAGCGCCAGGTCGGCGTGGTCCCACAGCCGTCTGCCTTCTTGCAGGGCTTCCTCTCCGCGTTCGGGCGCCCTTCGTTCTTACACGCAGGTGCCGCAGGCCACGGGGCAGGCATCCTTCGCTTTGACCTTGTCGTCGCTCTTTTTGCTGCAGCGTGAGTCGGGCTTTTCGGCGACCCACCGGCAGTTGTTGCTGCGTTTCTTCGAGAACCAGGTCTCGTCGTCCTCGCAAGCGGGCTCGCAGGCGTCGCAGGCCTCGGGGCAGGCGACGCTGGCCGTGACGCCGTCCCTGGACTTGATGGTGTCCTTGCAGCGCTTCGCGGGCTGCTTGCCGACCCACGCGCAGGTCTTCCACTTCTTCTTGCCCTGGTACCACGTCGTCGAGTCCGCGCACGACGGCTCGTCCGCCGGCCCCGGCGTGGGCCCCGGCGTGGGCTTCGGCGTGGGCTTCGGCGTGGGCTTCGGCGTGGGCTTCGGCGCGGGCTGGGCGTCCGCCGGGCAGGCGTCGCAGGCCTCGGGGCAGGCGACGCTGGCCGTGACGCCGTCCCTGGACTTGATGGTGTCCTTGCAGCGCTTCGCGGGCTGCTTGCCGACCCACGCGCAGGTCTTCCACTTCTTCTTGCCCTGGTACCACGTCGTCGAGTCCGCGCACGACGGCTCGTCCGCCGGCCCCGGCGTGGGCTCGGGCGTGGGCTTCGGCGTGGG